ACACCACCACCACCACCACCACCACCTCACCGAACTGTGTTCCCTGTTACAGATCAAGAAAACACGGACTAGGTAACGGACTTGTTGAATGGATGAATAGAACGATCAGGCGAATACTGTCTGCATTCGTCGATCGCGAGTCCTCCGATCTGTGTGACGAACACTTGTCACAGTGTCTATTGGCATACTGGACAGCCGTTCCCCCACACTTGACCAAGAAATTCGATTGCCGGCAGACATTCACTCTCCGCTTATTTCCGCCGAGGCCATCAGTATCGGAGAATACACCCGAGGCCTGAAAGAAAGACTTGCCACGGCGTAAAGGCAAAATTCGAACGGCAAAAAAGCACCAAAAGTCTTTCTACGATCGACACCGAGCGGGGCTGGAATATCAAATTGGCGATTCCGTGCTACTGTATGGGTCGCAGCCACCCGCTGGTGTCGCTGCCAAATTTCACAGCCCTTGGAGAAGACCATACATTATTACCTATTGACCATTTCCCGACGAATTTAGTCTTCGCGACCCGCAAAGGACTTCCGACGATGTTCACACCGTAGGCTATAACCAGACCAAGCCGATGCCCAGTTGCAGACCACCTCCCGATCTCTCCCTTCCGCTTGTTCCCCCCGCCTCACTCCCCTCCCGATCCGTGGCGCAGACAATTGAAATAACTATTTAAAGCTCCCCGGAACGTAATGCCTTGAAACACTATGGACAGTGATTTCTTGGGGGGAGGGGGGCAGTGTTATGGGGCAACACGCCTTCTGATAAATGTATATCTCTCATCTTTTTCAGCATCCCCCAAAGAAGATGAAGAGGGAGGTACGAGCACGTGGACAGAGATAATATTGAGACTGACGTTTCGGACACTCGCTCGGTTCCATCGTCAGAGTAACGTGGTGATTGTTCCTGTTCGCTGAGACTGTTTCAGCCTTGTCGCATGCCTGATATTATTTCGGGCTCGATGCACGAACTTTGACCTGCCTGTTCGCTGTTGACTGACCGTGAGTTTGACCGCTGGTGGGCTCGTGTGTCCTTCGCCCCCTTTGCGGCTGCCGTACGTCAGCGTTCTGACTGACCTGCCCCACGTCGACCGACAGATTAATTAGTTTTTACTGTCTGTGTGAGTTGATGTCAGTCTCGTGGGCGCGGCGGTGACGTAGAGTTCCACGCTGGTCACGTGGTTCCTGGCCGGCTCCTCCCCTATTTTCCTTTAACCTCAGCTATAGTCCACGATTGAGTTTGCCTTGTCTTCCTTTTGCCCTTGTTCGAGCTGAC